GAGAATTTGAGAAGTAGACTGTCAAAAGCCTCAAGACAAACAACAAGCATTTCTTTAAGTACATCCAGAGCAGGAAACCAGCCACAGAAGTAGTTGGGACTTTGGATGACCAAGGAATAAAAGGATTACTAAAGGAAGATAGGTGGATGACAGAAAACCTCAATGAATTCTTTGCATCTCTGTTCACTGAGGAAGGTGTGGGACATATACCCAGGCCACAGCCACTATTTTCAGGAAGGGAGTCTGAAGAGCTGCGTCAAACTGAGGTGACGAGAGATGAACTATAGGGGAAATTAAAAACCAATAAGTCTCCAGGTCCTGAAGGTACACACCCAAGGGTTCTTAGGGAATTCAAATGTGAGACTGTCATTCTCCTAACCAGTATATCGAACATGACACTAAAGTCAGCCACTGTACCAGAAGACTGGACAGTAGCAAATGTTACACTGATTTTTTTAAAAGGGCCCATAAGGGAACCAGGAAATTACAGGCCTTAGCCTAACGTCTGTCCCAGGCAAATTAGTAGAAACTGTAATCAAAGACAGAATTATTAGGCACACAGAGGAACAAAGCCTGCTGAGGGAAAATCAGTGTGGCCTCTGTAAAGAGAAGTACTGTGTCACCAACCTTTCGGTGTCCTTTGGGTAAGTGAACAAACATGTTGATTACAGTGACACAGTAAACATATGCATGGACTTTTTTGTGTGTATTGTGTGCGTGTACGTGTGTGTGTGCATGCCTGGAAGTCATGGTTGACTTCTGGTGATTCCTAGTGGGGATTGGACGTGTCAGAGCTTGCTACTGCCTGCCATTGCATCCTGGCCCTGGTATTCCTTGGAGGTCTCCCTTCGAAGTACTTACCAGGGACGGCCCTGCTTAGCTTTTGAGATCTGACAAGATCAAGCTTGTCCGGGCTATCCAGGTTAGGACATTATACACTTGGACTTTCAAAAGGCTTTTGGCAAGGTATCTCACCAAAGCCTCTTCAGCTTAGAAGTCATGGGATAAGAGGATGGGTCCTCCTATGTATTAAAAGTTGGTTAAACAAATCGTATTAGAGAGTAGGAATAAATGGACAATACTATCAATGGAGGGGAATAAGAAGTGGGGTTCCACAAGGATTGTTAATTTGCTCATAAATGATCCGAAATTGGGGTGAGCAGTGTAATGGCCAAGTTTGCAGATGACATTAAAAAGTCCCAAAATTATGTGTATGCTAATGGGGTCAGAAATTGCTGAGAACAAGAGGGATCAATGAAGTGGATATCTCAATGAAAATGTCAACCCAGCGTGATGCAGCAGTGAAAAGGGCAAACTCTATGTTTATTATTAATTGGATTAAAAATAAAACAGCCACTATTGTAATACTCCTGTATAGATCTACGGTGCTACCTCATTTGGAATACTATGTGCCATTCTGGTCACCGTATCTCAAAAAGGACACTGCTGAGCTGGAAAAAACAGATAAGGTGACAACCAAGTGGTTGGCGCACCTTTCCTATGAGAAAAGATTGATGAGCCTGGGACTTTTCAGTTTAGAAAAGAGACAACAAAGGGGGACATGACAAAGGTTTATAAAATTATGCATCAGATAGAGAGAGTGGCCAGAGAGAACTTTTTCTCGCTCTCCCAAAATACTAGAATTCAAGGGCATCCGAAGAAGCTGATGGGCAGTACATTCAGAATGAACAAAAGGAAATACTTCTCTACTCAATGGGTGCGTTCAGATGGGGCATTTGCAATGGTATAGGTGCCGATTGGAATCGGTGTACTTACCGGCGTTCACACGGCGAACATCTGCCTTCCGTCCCTAACCGTTGCAAAGAGCTTTAAACCGTTGTATTCTGCCACTAGGTCCCCAAGTGGTGGTATCCTGAGTGCAATGGTTGTAACTGCTTTACCTCCCGTCTGATCGCTCTCCAACGTTGTAGAGCCACTTCCGTTTGGAAGCCCAAGGCTTCCGATTTTTGCCCGCCATTTTTTGTTGTTAGGTCGGCGATATGCGCTTGGGCGAAGCTTCGCCCCGGCGTTTTTTGTTTTTTTTAAAGGTCCTTAGTTTAAGGTTTTGGAGGACTTTGAGACCTCAGGGAGGCCAGTTTGGTCTTTAAACTTTAAAGGTAAGTCCTTACCTTTAAAATTTAAATGTAAGATGGGGTGTTTTGCGCATGCGTGAAGATCGCCATTCTGTGGATGGCTGCCTATGCGTATGTGCAAACTAAGTTTTTTTTTTTTTTAAACGCCGACAGCCGCTGCATGTGAACGGGCATACAGCGATGGGCTCCGCGACAGGAGGTAAGTGTGATCACGTTTTAGCCGGCATAAACTGTACCGGTTCGAACCGGTACAGTGTATGCTGGCTGAAACGCCCCGTCTGAATGCACCCAATGAGTGATTAAAATATAAAAACGCTGCTAGCGGATATCATGGTGGTCACAGGCATGTACAGCTTTAAAAGGAAATTAGGCAGATTCATGGAGGACAGATTCATACAGCGATGGGCTCCGCAGACAGGAGGTAAGTGTGATCACGTTTCAGCTGGCATAAACTGCACCGGTTCTAACCGGTACAGTTTATGCCGGCTGAAACGCCCCGTCTGAATGCACCCAATGAGTGATTAAAATATAAAAACGCTGCTAGCGGATATCATGGTGGTCACAGGCATGTACAGCTTTAAAAGGAAATTAGGCAGATTCATGGAGGACAGGTCTATCAGCAATGACTAGCGATGGTGACTAAAGGAAACTTCTGCATTGAGAGGCACTAGTCCTCTGAATCCCTGAGCCAGGAGGCAAAACTAAGGGAAAACCTCAGCCTCTATGCCCTGTTGGTGGCCCTCCAGAATAACTGATTGACCATCATATGAGACAGGATGCTGGACTACATGGACCATTGGTCTGATCCAGCAGGGCTCTTTTTATGTTCTTATCCTGTTACATGTTTTTCCTTTCGAGTGGAAAGCTCACACACTATAAGGCAGGTCCCAAGGATACATGGTTCCTGGAAAGCACAGTCTTCTTCTCCCACCTGAAAGGAGATGTGAACCTAGCAGGTTGGGCATATGAAGGCTTGTCTATGCACTTTGTCCATGCAGTTTATCCCTCTACCCCCCACCACCCCTGAGGAAAGAACTTTGCATGATCTGGGCTTCCGACCAAATGACCAACAATGACAAGAAAAACGGGATTCATAATTCTTGGACAGAGTATTTGGAAGACAGAGGAAAGTCATCTCAACATTATTCATTCATTCATTTATTTATTTACAATATTTCTATGCTGCCTGTTCAGAATCAGTATATTTTTTTAAAAAACAAGCCATTAGACATAAGCTGCATAACTATCCATAAGAAGAAGAAGAAGAGAAGAAGAGATTGGATTTATACCCCGCCCTTCACTACCCAAAGGTGTCTCAGAGCGGCTTACAACTCCTTTCCCTTCCCCTCCCCACAACAGACACCCTGTGAGGTGGGTGGGGCTGAGAGAGCTCTGGCACAAACTGCTCTTTTTCAAGGACAGCTGTGCCAGAGCTTGTGACTGACCCAAGGTCACATCAGCAGGTGCAAGTGGAGGAGTGGGGAATCAAACCCGGTTCTCCCAGATTAGAGTCCGCGCACTTAACCACTACACCAAACTGGCTCTCTCTAAAAGAGAAGCAGACTATTAAAAAGCAGATAAGATAAAACCCTTAATTAAATCCCTGGTTAAAAAGATGTGTTTTAGCCTGGTGCCTAAAAAGAAGTAAAGTAGGCATAGGCGAGTCTCAAGGGGGATAGTGTTCATGTTACACATGTATGAATTGGGATTTATCTTCTTGATCCCACCACCTCCCTTTCCCTGACAATCTTTGTCTCCCTCTCCTTGAAATCTATCCCTGCTGTCCTGTCCTCTTGCTCAGTTTCCCAGCTTAGTTTATTGGCAATGCACTCCTCCACAGAGTCGCAGCCTTCTGAGCACATTGACTTCAATGCATTTAGAAGAGTGTAACTCTGCGAGGACTGCACCATAATAATGCCTGAAGTCTCTCTCCCCCCCCCCAAAAAAAACCCTCCACAAAGCCCATAAATGTACCCTGAATATTTTGAACTGAACAGCAGTGCTATTATCAATTTCTTAGAATACAGCAACTTCTGACGGAATCCGCCAGTTCCTTTGCCTATTTTAAGACACGTAGAATCAGCACATCAGTAAATAGGTGGTGCAGTGATGAAAAGGATCTTTGGAAGTCTATCAATGACAATTAGGAGGTGCAAAAGGATTGAGTGAAAGACTAGACAAATACTCCCTTCTGCTGCAGTCCCTTTCATTTTATTACTTCTATTTTAACAGAAGAGGGACAAAGGTGCTTTCTGTTTCATTTGGCATGCAATCATTTTTAATTTTGTATTTTTAAATTAACAAGACACAAGGATGCCAATGCAAACATATGTGGGAAACCAACCTCAGGTGAGGGAGGAGAAGCAGCTTATTGGGGGGGGGGGTGGCGCAGAATAGCTCCTAGCTGTTCTTTCTGGGTGGAGACTAGGCTTCCCCCTGGTTCAATGGGGAATGTGCACCAGTGAGACAGCTGGACTTATCACTAGAGCATAAGTGGAGGAAAACTCATGATTAATATGACAATTTTGAAGGGCAGAGTGGAGGCTCAGAGACGATACTAGAAGTTTCATACAAACACACACAAATGAACTTATGCCGTTTTTAAAGTGAAAAGCAGCTTTGGAAGAGTATAATTTGGATTGGCCAAACTCAAAAGCATGCTGGTTAATGTCTAGTTAGCCTCTAAAATTCTAGCAGTCTGAGAACAAAACATCAAATATCTGGCTCTGTCAACTCAGTTTTAACTAATTATGTTGCAAAACAGTTAACCATTACTCAACTGTAGTCTTGTGTTACAAACCAGCAGACTTCCCCCAGGTACAAGTTCCTTTCACAGCCCTCCCAATCTCTATTCGTGTCAAGTGGCAAGCAAGCAGAAGAAAAGGTTAAAAATTGGTTTGTACTTACTGAGTTCTGCAATACTTCCCACCCGTGTTGCCAGTAAAGATTGCTCAATGGTCCGTAGCTCTGATTGGCTGAACATCTGGACTTCCCCTGGCTTGTTTGACCTTTGCTGGTCTTTGTGAAGATTTAGACTTTCTGGTAGGCATGGAACACCTAGAGGTAAAAGAGGTGGGGTGGAAAGGAAAGGGAACCGTTCAGTATAACACTCCAGCAACTGAAGTTTGTTTTTTGTTTCTTAAATAAGTTTCTACGGGCAGTTTGTCATTTTGTTTCTTCCCTATGTGCTCCTAAGAAACTGGTTAACCAAACATGGGTCTGTCCAGAGTTATAAAGATTCAGAATGAGTGTAACATAATTTCTTACATGCACCATCTTTTAAAAAAAAAAGTGCAGAGAAAAGCATTGTATGAACTGGCCCTAATTTTCACAGTAGCAAAGAGAAGCCTAAACATACATCGCAAAGGAAATTTGGCAAAAAGAGGAGTTCACTCATCCTCCCACCTTTCTTTCCGCTAATGTATCCCAACTTTGTCCAGCATGCAATTTATTTTTCCTGAACCATTAAATCCTGACCTTTCTCTGATGATAACACCAATACTGCTGTCTGTGAGAAAGTTGTCTGCACTTGTGATATTTTTAATGAGTGTACCACTGGGCTTAAAGTAAAGTTGCCAATGTCCCCACTTTGAGATCATCATGCAGTTTACTAGAGGGTAAGGATTTGGGATCTTGATGAGGAGGACTCAGAAGATACAACTGACCCCACACTGAAGATACAAGTGACCCCACACTGAACAAGCCACATACAAGATAGCTGACTATCCAAGTTCTGTCAGCCCGCTTCAGAAATTCACTGTATCCTGTAATCCTGTATTCAAATAACCCTTTTGACGGTGTTTTATCTATCAAGAAATCGCCACTGCATGCAAGCAAGCCAACATGGCTGAACATAGGTGTTGTACTACTCTGTGAACTCAACACAGAAAACAACTCTGTAAATGTCATCCAACAACAATAACAGTAATGAGGGGGGAAATGTGATTATCAGCATGCACTGCAGAAAAGACACAATCGCTCTGATCACACGCAGAAGTTGCCGCAGGATACTCACGGATGCTGGGCGGAGTTTATGGGCGTGATCAAACGGGCACATCTGGCAAGCGTCACGCACCCGTTGCCAACCCGTCACGTCCAGCCAAAGATTCGGAGTTAAAAGGTACCGGAGAAAGTCCACTATCTAACGCTTGTGATGGGCCGCAGATGGACTTCCTCCATCTGATCACTCCAGCGCACTCCCCTCGCTGTGTTGAAGCGCACCGGAAACGCGCGCCGACTAACTGAAACCCCAATTCCCCACCGTCGCATCTGATTGCGTTCGGGTGGGTCAAAGTGTGCCGGCGCAAAAAGCCACGCCTCCCACCACCACCACGTTATCTAGCCTGTGTGACCGGGGCCAATGATAATTATGTATAGAAAAACACAGTAAAGGCTGAAACTAAATATCTCCAACCACAAAACCTCTAACTAAACATACTTAAAATTTGTATAAATATACAAATTATGTGTTCCTAGTCAACTGTGCATGTGATTATCCAATGTAAAAAGAGTTATAAAGATTTAACTGATCCACATTGTGGATTCTTGAAGATACACAATCCCTGTCTAGTTCCAAGGGGAAGTCAAGTCCAGTCATTCATTTTAGTTCTTCGTTAGGTCAGTGTGAAATTAATAAGACACCCAACTGACCACCTTTTCAGAAATACAGCACCATCATGAACTGGTCAGAAAAACTAGATGTTGGCCTGCACCCCATGAGCTACGTAGATTATCTCATGTATCTCATGGCATACAAATAAGCAAGCTGTGGTATGTTCTTAGGAAGACTGCTCCCATATGGCCTTTCTGTGTCAGAGTGGAGCTGCTGATCATACATTTTGCCACAAAGCAGAGCCTGGTAACTCTCTACAAGTGTAACCCATAAATCTCCCATGAATCCTGTTAAACCATAGAGCTGGACTGCACAGTGCCTATTTTAAATTGCAAAATCACAAGATTGTTAAGCACCCAACAGGCAACAATACAGAGCTGATGGACTGTAGTAGATTTAATGGATCACAAGAGTGCCATAAAGAAATGGGGTTGGATCTAGCCAGCTTTTTCACTCAGTCTTGCTCAATTTGCTTTCTTATGACAGCAGCCATTCCCTATGGCCTTTGTCCACGCAAGTCCCAGGATACCAAGCATAACCTTTTTTGTGGTCACAGAGGATCTTTTCCTCCCTTTTTCATCAATGGAAAAGCTGGTCAGATCTAATGTTTTGTCTGTTCACAGAACCAAAAAACAACAACGATCAGATTAGAACAAGTACAGAAAGAGGTTGCGTGAATTAGATAAGGGAAGCATTTACACACGCAAGCACAGGAGAGCAAGGTCATGTGTGAGACAAGTACATAAATGTACTATATTTATACTATCAAAGCTTGTCAGGGATGCTCTAGGCTGATCCTGCATTGGTCTGTATGGCCCCTTCCAACTCTGTGATTCTATGATTCTACAAGAGATCAGAATGTGAGCCTACATCTCTCATGACCTTGGGGAACCATTCACTTTCTTTAGAAACTTACATGATTGAAGCACGCCCGTTGTAATTGAAAAGCAATTTACCACACAATTCTGAAAAAGTTGCAGCTGTACACGCCCGCTATCAGTTCAAGGTCTTTCCTATTTCAATACAGCCTTAATGAGTTGTATATTTTTTTCTGCCTCAGTCACACTGTTTTAATCTGACAAGTAGGTAGAAATCGTATGCTTCCCTAGTCGGAATATGGAAAAGGCTTCTTCTGTTTTCCAAGCTGTTACTGCTGTATTTCCCCCTCCTGTCATTCTGAATCAAAGATTGCTGCACAACATCTCTATAAACTGCAGAATTGGTTCTCGGGTGTCACAGGGAAATTATGCTAATAAAAGTGTCCGCTGTTTCTCCTGCCCGGTTATTCAGTAGTGGATGCTTCCTCATATGCAAGTCTTCTGCCTAGCAGCATCATTCATTCCACTCAGCAAAGCAGTACATATCTGTGAAAGCACACTCAGAGCCCAGTTCCCCACTAGTTTATTTATACATCACAGTTATACCCCACTTTTTTTCCCCGCATGCAACTCCAGGCAGTATACCAAGGGGTAAGATAATGCACCCATCTGTGGGTATTGCACTATTGTAATAATTCAATGCCTGGATTTTCCTGAACAGAAAGGAGGAGGAGGAGGAGGAGATTGGATTTATACCCCGCCCTTCATTCGCAGTCTCAGAGTGGCCTACAAACTCCTTTCCCTTCCCCTCCCCACAACAGACACCCTGTGAGGTAGGTGAGGCTGACAGAAACTGCTCTTTTCAAGGACACCTCTGACAGAACTATGGCTTGCCCAAGGTCATCCAGCAGCTGCAAGTGGAGGAGTGGGGAATCAAACTTGGTTCTCCGAGATTAGAGTCCACACACTTAACCACTACACCAAATTGGTTACAAGTAGCATGACGTCCAGTAAGATGTAAATGTGTTCTGTGTTCCCGGGAGATCCACCATCTAGATACACACCCACACTGTTGCTTTAATGTATATGAGGCAGAAATTTAGCACTGATGTAATGGCATGGGGGCAGCCACAAACAGGATTTACGATACTGAAACTCATGGGGTAATAAATACACATCATCCTTTACAGTGTTTATCCCATTTTTATAGTACTGTAATCCAGGGCATGCCCTGTCCTGGATGGCCCAGGGTAGCCCAATATTATCAGATCTCTGAAGCTAAACAAGGTTGACCCTGGTCAGTAATTGGAAGGGAGATCACCAAGGTTGCTATGCAGAGGCAAGCAATGGCAAACAACCTCTGTCTCTTGCCTTGCCCCAGTTGTGTACAGGATCACCATAAGTCAGCTACAACTTGATGGCACTTTCCATCACCAATACAGGGTCTAAAGAACCTTTTCACTAGTCACCTATAACAAGTAATAATTTTCTCCAGAAGACCAGGTAAAGATATTCTTAAAAATAAACTGTAACAGATGAACTGCCTTATACAGAATCAGACCTAACCCCTCTCTATTCTGACTGGCAGCAGGTCTCCAGAGTCTCAAGTTGAGGTCTCTCACTGCACCTGACCCTTTTAATTGGAGATACTGGAGACTGAACCAGAGAGCTTCTTCATCCAAAACAGGTTCTATACCACTGAGCCAAAGATAATTGGCCCTTATTCCTTTCATTCCATTAATGCACCAGAAAATACTGATACATAAATGCCTTGACACATGTTTTTAGATTGGTAACTTCCAGAGATTTACCTGCAAGGTCAATGTACTCTCAATCTGTCCGTTTATTATGCTAGAGATCAACTGCAGCAATCCCTGGTAAATTTGTGCTTCTCTCTAGGAATGAAACCATGACTCACCAATAGAGCATGTGCTTTGTAAAAGCTATCATCCATGACTGCTGTAAGCAATCTCTGCGTGCGTTCAGAGGCAGTATTCCTCTGCACAGCAGATGATGGAACAAGCAAAGAGAAGGACTGTTTCTTTATCCCCTGCTTATGGGCTTTCTGGAGGCAAACAGAACAAGATGCTTTATGATGGGCCCTTGATCTGATCAAGGAAGGCTATTCTAATATCCAGACATATATGCAAAGTCTTACAATTACCCCTGACAACTCCAGCTACTTGGTCCTCAGTGGCAAGGCAGAATAAGATCTCTGCTTGAGATCCTAAACAGTCATATCTTACTGGGCTAAATGGGTCATTGGTGTGACCTGGAATAAGGTAGCTTCATATGTCTGATTAGCTTTTAATGAAATCCATTAGGAGCTCACTTTATTTATTTCTTGATACAACAGCAGGCAAGGACTAAAGCATAATGACTAGGATCCAAAGGAGCAGAACCAGATGTGCAACTGGGGCTTTCCAGTTATCAGTGAAGCTCTTCCACGTGCTTAGGCAGTTTTGCCATCCCACTGCCCACAGTTTCCTAATGGGAAACTTAAACAGTCACATGCTGGGAATAGTACACAACATCCATAGTGTACCAAAGAATGAGACCCGTAAATCTGTTAATCATTCAACATAATCTGAATGCACTCACACAATCACATATAATGTACACTGATA